ACTTGTCAGTGTACCATTCTTGTTCGGAATTTGTTGATACCACACATAGTTCACACACACACACACTTTAAAAAGATCTTCAAGATATTGCGCTTAAAACAAGAAAAAAGAAAACGGAAATAGTAAAACATTTAATAAAAAGTGTCAACAATTTAAACATTTAAAACGCCTATATTGAAACAAATTACATTTCGTTCTCATTATTAGACATTTAAATAATGAAAATTTTTCAAATTTGAATATTGCACAGCAAAATGAAAAATGAAAAATTGGAGCATTTTTCATTTTTCAATATCAAACGTCAAATTGAAAAATGCTCCACGTTGGAGCATTTTTCATTTTTCAATATTTGAAGTCAAATTGAAAAATGCTCCATACTAGAGCATTTTTCATTTTTCAATATTGTAAGTTGAATTGAAAAAATGCTCCACGTTAGAGCATTTTTCATTTTTCAATATTGTAAGTGAAATTGAAAAATGCTAAAGGTCAGCATTTTCAATATTTGCTTTTAAGAATGAGATTGAAATATGTTTTGTTTTCTAAAACAAGCAAATACAAATGTTTTAATATATTTAAACTTTTGACAAAATAAAATCATTTTTAACACAAACTTATTGATATTTGTTTCAATATCTTCGTGAAATCAAAAATATAATTTCATGAAAATAACAATTTTCAAATCTCATAGAGAAAATGGTTTTTCGAAAGTGACTTCAATAGATTTTTGTTACATTTTTCAAACCAACTACCTTTAAAAGTTGCAGAGCAATTTGCAAAATCTATTTTTCATCTTAAAATGAAAAATGGTTGGCGTGAATGTACACGGACGAGAGTGGGGGGTGTGTCTCTTTTTTAATTAATTCTGTAAGAAATTACCACAAGTTTTAGTGTATTTCAAGTTTATGATTGCTTTTGTACACTACGCATCACTTATTTAACTTGGGTACAAGTATTAATCATAATTTAAATAGTATTCTTCTAAAATTCACGGCTAAGTTAATTAAAAAGGCTTTATTGCACCCGAAATAAATAGTATACTTTACCCATAATTGCTAACATTCACTACTTTGAACAATGGTAAATAGTTGTCTCATTTGCAATCATACCACGTGCACATCTCCTTATTTTCATATTGATCAAAATTTAAAGCACAATGAATTACAAAGCTGTTATATAGAGTATTGGTGTGAACCCTTAACCACTGATGTACGTAAAAAATGTCAAAGATTCAAGACTTAACGCAAACTACATGTAGCTGCCTGAAAACTTGGCCCATCTGTACGAGTGGTGCAGACTAGTAAAAACAGAACAATAAAAGAATAAAAAAAGTAGCTTTCATTTCAAGGTTTCATAACTTTTTATTGTTCGTGGCATGCGGCACTCTTTCACAATTTATCATTACTACATGATTTGTACACAAAAAACAAATCAAAGATCAGCTATTTTGCATGTAAGCCTATGGACAAGTCAATTACAAGACTGCAACCTAAAATGTTAGTGTGAACTCAGTGTTGGTTACTTTTAATTATATATGTCCCGCAGTTCAATGGAGGGTCTTTCTTACTCATGTTACTGAATGATGTATTATATATTCATAATAATTATTGCCATTTTTATTATTTTTCAACACGGTGGACCAGAGTAATCTACATAATTTAACTAAAACGAAAAAAGGACAACGAAATAAAATCTTTACTTCTAAAAAAGCGTTGAAATTCCCGATATATATGCAACATAACACCCATTATATACATTAATGATCATTTTAACCTGATCTAGAAGTTGGCTTTTTTATATTCACCTTGTGCGTCTGTCCGTTCGTTTTTCCAACATGTATTGAAACTATTTCCTCGGGTACTGCTGAACAGAGTGATTGACAGTAATGATTAGTATTAATACGTGCACTTTTTGAATTGGTAAACCCCCTTTTTTTTGTCATAATATGTACTTTTTTCAAAATATTTCTTCAGTACTTGGCAGTGAAAAAGTTTAACACATACAAGACGGATGTGACAGACACTTACTTTTTTCAATACCTTGAAAAAGGTGTACTGCTGAGCACGATAACGCGCGTTTATTCTCGTTACGTTAGATACATAATACAAGATCTCTTATAGTTTTTTTTCGAGCTTAATATATAAATGTTATCTAAATTATATACTGAAAATATCAATGATGATGAAATTATGTTTTGCATATGTGATTATAATTAAGTGTAACAGGACTGGAGGTATTTATATTGTTTGATTTTGACGCAATAATTTGTATCGATAGTAAAACAACGGATTACTTCTTCGCGTAGTAAAAATATAATTAACGGCGAGGTAACAGAAAACAATACGGAGAAAACAGGGGGGAGGGGGTCTTTCTTCTTTTATATACCTATCGAATATTGTAAAACGATGACAACATTGTTCTATACATGAGCATACTGCATACATGCTCATGGTTGTTTCAGTACTAATACTCCTTACAAACTACTGCTGTAGTATAACGTAGATAAATGAATTCAAAAACATCTCAAATTTTCCACAAGAAAGAAATTAAAGATTAAAATTCAACACATTAAGTTCTGTCTTGGCGATAAAATATAACTACAGGGATATGGTATTGTTGCAAATAAAAAAAAAATGCATTTTTGTATTCAACCAAAGGCAAAACTTATTCTTAGATGCATAATTGTTTTCATTAGTTGTTATTGGCTTTGAACTAGCTGTCAGTAACTGCGAGTACTCTCAGATCTGTACTTAGTGTCTGTCTGTTGTGTGGCTGTATAAATACCTGTCCACGTCCACTCTGAGTTTTTGTTGATGAATTTCTGATGAGTTAATATGGAAAAGATGTGGTGTGATTGCCATTGAGACAACTCTTCACAAGAGACCAATTGATACAGAAATTAACAACTATAGATCACCGTACGACCTTCAACAATGAGCATAGCCCATACCGCATAGTCAGCTATAATAGACAGATCTCTCACAAGCAAAAAAACCTAACAGTAAATACAAGGGCATACACTACAGGCACGGGGACACATTCTACTGCATCCACACAGCACGAGTAACAAACCCTGCAGTAAATATAAAAAAGAAGATGTGGTGTGATTGGTTTGTCTCCGATTTTATGGTTCACTAAACATTGAAATAAGATAGTGCGGGTGGAGCATGGTGTGTATGGACATATACTCTGTCACCGAACGTAAGCATCAACAAGACTTGAATCTGTACAAAATGGCAGGTGTCTTAGAAAATAAAAAAAATACTGTTTACTCACATCGAACAAAACTTGAATACACCATATTTTTAGTGGTTAACGTGTGCACGTGTTTAATCGACATTTTTTATTACTTTGGTTGGCTGCATTGTTTCTTATTTGCCTGGGTATTTGTATATTTCGTTTTCCGAATTTGACTTTGTCTATCTTTGCTCTCCTCTGATTATATCTTGGGTTTTTTTTCATAATATTATCAACTCCCAGTATCGCACACATTTATTTTGGATGCAAGTTCTCACAATAAGTGTGCTTTAGTCGCAACACAATTCAAATTCTTCTAAGTTAAGTGTAGTACGATATGATTGCATTTCGGCAGGTTGAGTATACATTGAGCTGGTTTGTAGATACTACCAGCTGTATTCTTTATTTTGGTCAAACTTGTTGATGATTTGTGTTTTTTTCTTTTGTTTGTATACTGACCGAGATTAAAAAAAAGGACACAAGACATAAGACAGACATAAAGCTTTATCCTGTAATTGGCCTTCTATTGTACAAATAACAGGTGTACAAATAAATTTTTGCTTTATTTGTATAGTATGCAAATTATGCATTAGGCCCCGCCTACTTGTTACCGGAACTATTTTTTCATCATCTTAACCTTGCGTGACCCTGCTTGACAACTATGTAAACAAAACGCCGCTATCATTGACTGGTACGGAACATTTTTTTTTCATTGCAAAACGTTCTGACTCAGGAACCAGTATAATAATGTCGTAAACAATGAATAAAATAAATAAACAAACATTTTTTTTAATTGTATTATTCTTATCCCATGAAAACAAAATGTGGTTGAACAGATGCATTTTGTAAAAAAGGGGGGTCTCCTTTAATTGCTTGCTGCAAAAATATTTCGTCTGCAATTAAATTCGTCTGCTAAAACCAAACATGTCCTCTGATTCTGAAGAAAATAATATGGAAATGCCTCAGTTTAGATTAATTTGGTCACCTTATGCTGAATTAACTGAAGATGATTTGATGGACAGAGACCTGCAGGACACCATCACCCAGTTAGATAGGCCAAATGAACAAGATTTGACAGAAAATCCTAACCCCACAAATCAAGTTCAGGAGGAAAGTCATTCTGAAAATTTAGAAAATGCATCTGTAAATCCACATTTTGACGCCCAATATATGGACATGACAGAACATGATATTGAACAATTTATTGAAGGCCAACAAAATAAAAACACTTTAACAAAAACAGTACGAGATATTGCCCTACTGAACAAATTTCTGAAAGCCAAAAATGAAAACAGAGAATTACAGACTATTCCACCAGTGGAATTGGACCCTTTGCTGGCCAACTACTTATTAACTCTTCTTAAAAAAGATGGAGGGGAATATGAGCCATCCACCTTGAGATCAATAGTCAGTAGTATTGACAGGAAACTAAAAAGACACAAATATGGCCATTCAATTGCTGGATCAACCACACACCAAGATGAGGCTTTTAGACTAACCAGGGAATCCTTCAAAGCAAAGCAGAAGGTACTTAAACAGAAAGGCAAAGGAAACAAGCCCCTACGATCACAGCAAATTACGGACGATGAAATTAACATTCTTTATGAAAGAAATGTCTTGGGTGACAGCTGTCCTGATGCCCTTCTACGGACTATCTGGCTGAACAACTGTGTTCATTTTGGACTTCGTGGTGTACAAGAACACTATACACTAAGGTTTGTGACATATGTCGAGCAATTTTTCATAAATGTATAATGCACATAATAAACAATCAATATATTTAATATTTGATTTAATACATGTACTTGATAAAAAAAATATTAACAGCAACAACACTTTGCAAATAAACCTTCATCTGATTATTTTGCAGTCATTTAAAAAAATCTTTAACATATATGTATTGTACAATCGACTCCCTCCTGTATGTATTATTCCACTATTTATCATCCGATCATACAAGTAATTATTCATTATCATCCTACCTTTATTTAACATTCACATGTGTATCATGTGTATAAATGTTAGCTTCCAAATGGCATATAAATTTGCCGTATGAATTTGTATAGTATTGTCCATATATCACGTAACATGTAGATCTTTTTCTGATTCGCTGTCCTTTGAATATATGAAACGAAAACATACAATCCATCCATCATTCAGGGAATAGATTAATCACACAAGCACATATTCATTATAGTGGAACATTGATATTCTTCTCTTCTACACTAAAATTCCTAATCCTGCTTGTTGAGCATAATATGGCTCGCTTTCTATATATTTAGTACACTATAAAATGTATAATCCAAGTGATATTATTTGCACTGCCATCGTCACACCAAATCTGAAAAAAATGAATGCTTGTAAATAAATTTGAACATGAAAAACATAATATATTATTTATTCTCCATACACATTGTAACACGAGGCAAACACGTGACACTTCTATATATCTGACTTTAAAATTGCTAAAACAGAAGATATTTATCATGTTTATATGTAATATAAGTAAAGTTAGTTGTCCAAACATGAATCATTTATTTTGTATGAGCTATATAGAAATATTGAAAATGAAATGTATAGGTTGCTGATAATTTATACTGTTTAATTGCAATTTCAAATAAATTACATATTTTCAACAGCAAAAATATATTATAGGTCGAAGGACGGCCTTCAACACGGAGCCTTGGCTCACATACACCAAACAGCAAGCTATAAAGGGCCCAACAAATTACAATTACTAGTGTAAAACAATTCAAACTGTAACAGATACACAGTCAACCCCTAAAAATTTTAACAAATAAATATATATACAATATTAGTATAGTGTAGAAAAATATAGAAAATATTTGTATGAGGCTGAGAAACAAGGGAAAATGCGAGGCTTTGCCGAGCTATTTTTCCCTTGTTTTGCGCCGAGTACAAATATTTTCTATATTTTTCTACACTATATTAATATTGTTTTTATCCTGTAATTTTGTTTATTTGGGGATTTTTAAGCAATTCAACTATTTTTAAAATTGTAAATAGTTGTTCCCCCAATTGGGGCCATTTTGCGTAGTGAATATTTCCTTCTAGTGTTTACCTGTGCAATAATGACGTGCCACGTTGCAAATAGTTTTCATACAGTGGTGAAATGAATAAAATTGATGAAGAACGAGTATTTTTATTCAATATGAGTCGATAAATGTAGGTTTTTATGTCAAATAAACGTACTTGTAACAATTGAAACAGTAACACATTTGTTTTGATCGAAATCGATAAGTTCAACTATTGAGCGGGCTTTTCACTGTGTGGATGTGTGTACACATTAAGTGTGCCAACATGGAGCGTTGCACCGTAAAACATAGATTGAATTTGGTTGGACATGTTTGTCTGAGAGCAGAAAGAAGTCGACAAATTATCATGATCAGACTGACAGACAGCGGGAGCGGAGATAGTTGACGTTGCCACGGGTCCAGTAACTGTTGATGTCCTTCTAGGTAAGTTTGATTGTTCAGTTTGTGGTGTGTATGGCACAACCACCATGTTTTCATCTGTTGTTGTATTACTGAGAATATTTGAGATATTCTTTTGCTGCTTTTCAGAAATAGTGCTGTAATTGTTAACAGAGGCAACATTCTTGTGTCCTGAAATTTGCATTATATCTGTTCCCTAGATATTATTTTCCCTTAGCTTTTGCACGAGATACTTTCTAGCACTATGATTTGTGAGCCGTTTGTTTTTGTCTAGATCCCCCCTTTCTTTCATAGTTTTCACCATTGATCCTAGTTTTCTTTCCCCAAGCTTTTGTCTTAAAAACCAGATGTCAGACCTCTTGTCTTCAAGTGGAATGGTGCGTGTTGCCAAATAAAAGGGAGATTCTGGTGTACTAAACCCAATTGGTCTCTTTGCGGCATACAAAGTATAGAAATCAAGTGGGTTACGGTCTCCTTGGCTTTGATATATTTTAGGCGAAATCTCCCGTACATCTGATATGTTTTCTCCAGTCCTTGATTTTGTCTGTCTTTCGTTTAACTCCAAATATTGGGAACCATCTGTGGATGTATTCAAGGTTACATCACCCCATCTGAAAAATTATAACGCTAATTCTTATTATATTTATTTGTTAAAATTTTTAGGGGTTGACTGTGTATCTGTTACAGTTTGAATTGTTTTACACTAGTAATTGTAATTTGTTGGGCCCTTTATAGCTTGCTGTTTGGTGTACGTGAGCCAAGGCTCCGTGTTGAAGGCCGTCCTTCGACCTATAATATATTTTTGCTGTTGAAAATATGTAATTTATTTGAAATTGCAATTAAACAGTATAAATTATCAGCAACCTATACATTTCATTTTCAATATTTCTATATAGCTCATACAAAATAAATGATTCATGTTTGGACAACTAACTGTACTTATATTACATATAAACATGATAAATATCTTCTGTTTTAGCAATTTTAAAGTCAGATATATAGAAGTGTCACTTGTTTGCCTCGTGTTACAATGTGTATGGAGAATAAATAATATATTATGTTTTTCATGTTCAAATTTATTTACAAGCATTCATTTTTTTCAGATTTGGTGTGACGATGGCAGTGCAAATAATATCACTTGGATTATACATTTTATAGTGTACTAAATATATAGAAAGCGAGCCATATTATGCTCAACAAGCAGGATTAGGAATTTTAGTGTAGAAGAGAAGAATATCAATGTTCCACTATAATGAATATGTGCTTGTGTGATTAATCTATTCCCTGAATGATGGATGGATTGTATGTTTTCGTTTCATATATTCAAAGGACAGCGAATCAGAAAAAGATCTACATGTTACGTGATATATGGACAATACTATACAAATTCATACGGCAAATTTATATGCCATTTGGAAGCTAACATTTATACACATGATACACATGTGAATGTTAAATAAAGGTAGGATGATAATGAATAATTACTTGTATGATCGGATGATAAATAGTGGAATAATACATACAGGAGGGAGTCGATTGTACAATACATATATGTTAAAGATTTTTTTAAATGACTGCAAAATAATCAGATGAAGGTTTATTTGCAAAGTGTTGTTGCTGTTAATATTTTTTTTATCAAGTACATGTATTAAATCAAATATTAAATATATTGATTGTTTATTATGTGCATTATACATTTATGAAAAATTGCTCGACATATGTCACAAACCTTAGTGTATAGTGTTCTTGTACACCACGAAGTCCAAAATGAACACAGTTGTTCAGCCAGATAGTCCGTAGAAGGGCATCAGGACAGCTGTCACCCAAGACATTTCTTTCATAAAGAATGTTAATTCCATCGTCCGTAATTTGCTGTGATCGTAGGGGCTTGTTTCCTTTGCCTTTCTGTTTAAGTACCTTCTGCTTTGCTTTGAAGGATTCCCTGGTTAGTCTAAAAGCCTCATCTTGGTGTGTGGTTGATCCAGCAATTGAATGGCCATATTTGTGTCTTTTTAGTTTCCTGTCAATACTACTGACTATTGATCTCAAGGTGGATGGTTCATATTCCCCTCCATCTTTTTTACGAAGAGTTAATAAGTAGTTGGCCAGCAAAGGGTCCAATTCCACTGGTGGAATAGTCTGTAATTCTCTGTTTTCATTTTTGGCTTTCAGAAATTTGTTCAGTAGGGCAATATCTCGTACTGTTTTTGTTAAAGTGTTTTTATTTTGTTGGCCTTCAATAAATTGTTCAATATCATGTTCTGTCATGTCCATATATTGGGCGTCAAAATGTGGATTTACAGATGCATTTTCTAAATTTTCAGAATGACTTTCCTCCTGAACTTGATTTGTGGGGTTAGGATTTTCTGTCAAATCTTGTTCATTTGGCCTATCTTACTGGGTGATGGTGTCCTGCAGGTCTCTGTCCATCAAATCATCTTCAGTTAATTCAGCATAAGGTGACCAAATTAATCTAAACTGAGACATTTCCATATTATTTTCTTCAGAATCAGAGGACATGTTTGGTTTTAGCAGACGAATTTAATTGCAGACGAAATATTTTTGCAGCAAGCAATTAAAGGAGACCCCCCTTTTTTATAAAATGCATCTGTTCAACCACATTTTTTTTTTATAGGATAAGAATAATACAATTAAAAAAAATGTTTGTTTATTTATTTTATTCATTGTTTACGACATTATTATACTGGTTCCTGAGTCAGAACGTTTTGCAATGAAAAAAAATGTTCCGTACCAGTCAACGATAGCGGCGTTTTGTTTACATAGTTGTCAAGCAGGGTCACGCAAGGTTAAGATGATGAAAAAATAGTTCCGGTAACAAGTAGGCGGGGCCTAATGCATAATTTGCATACTATACAAATAAAGCAAAAATTTATTTGTACACCTGTTATTTGTACAATAGAAGGCCAATTACAGGATAAAATAAGAATTAGCGTTATAATTTTTCAGATGGGGTGATGTAACCTTGAATACATCCACAGATGGTTCCCAATATTTGGAGTTAAACGAAAGACAGACAAAAACAAGGACTGGAGAAAACATATCAGATGTACGGGAGATTTCGCCTATAATATATCAAAGCCAAGGAGACCGTAACCCACTTGATTTCTATACTTTGTATGCCGCAAAGAGACCAATTGGGTTTAGTACACCAGAATCTCCCTTTTATTTGGCCACACGCACCATTCCACTTGAAGACAAGAGGTCTGACATCTGGTTTTTAAGACAAAAGCTTGGGGAAAGAAAACTAGGATCAATGGTGAAAACTATGAAAGAAAGGCGGGATCTAGACAAAAACAAACGGCTCACAAATCATAGTGCTAGAAAGTATCTCGTGCAAAAGCTAAGGGAAAATAATATCCAGGGAACAGATATAATGCAAATTTCAGGACACAAGAATGTTGCCTCTGTTAACAATTACAGCACTATTTCTGAAAAGCAGCAAAAGAATATCTCAAATATTCTCAGTAATACAACAACAGATGAAAACATGGTGGTTGTGCCATACACACCACAAACTGAACAATCAAACTTACCTAGAAGGACATCAACAGTTACTGGACCCGTGGCAACGTCAACTATCTCCGCTCCCGCTGTCTGTCAGTCTGATCATGATAATTTGTCGACTTCTTTCTGCTCTCAGACAAACATGTCCAACCAAATTCAATCTATGTTTTACGGTGCAACGCTCCATGTTGGCACACTTAATGTGTACACACATCCACACAGTGAAAAGCCCGCTCAATAGTTGAACTTATCGATTTCGATCAAAACAAATATGTTACTGTTTCAATTGTTACAAGTACGTTTATTTGACATAAAAACCTACATTTATCGACTCATATTGAATAAAAATACTCGTTCTTCATCAATTTTATTCATTTCACCACTGTATGAAAACTATTTGCAACGTGGCACGTCATTATTGCACAGGTAAACACTAGAAGGAAATATTCACTACGCAAAATGGCCCCAATTGGGGGAACAACTATTTACAATTTTAAAAATAGTTGAATTGCTTAAAAATCCCAAAATAAACAAAATTACAGGATAAAAACAATATTAATATAGTGTAGAAAAATATAGAAAATATTTGTACTCGGCGCAAAACAAGGGAAAAATAGCTCGGCAAAGCCTCGCATTTTCCCTTGTTTCTCAGCCTCATACAAATATTTTCTATATTTTTCTACACTATACTAATATTGTATATTTATTAATAGTCGAGGCAAGGTAGGGGTTTAGACTAAAAAAATAAGTTGTAGTCCCACCATATATATATATATATATTAAAATTAAAATTTCGCAGACTACATTTCACATCAAATAATAACATTTCGTTAAAATATTGTCATTATATTTTATGACAATATTTTAACGAACTGTTATTATTTTATGTGAAATGTAGTCTGCGAATTTTTAGTTTTAATATATACATTTTGTACACCGTATTTATTTACTTTTGCTATATATATGTATATATATACAAGTCTAAATTGAAAACAACGTTCAAACATATGGTTGCATTGGATAAAAACCGCAATTTTTATACGTGTGCATGCAAAACAAATTTCTTGTTGGAGGGGTCTAAACACAGCACAAACAACATTTTCCAAAAGACCAAAAAAGTGAAAAAGTATATTTTAACAAAACGCATTTGACTAACAGGTCGAACAACAAATGTTCTTTAACCCTGCTGACTGACATTGGCGATTGCCAAATAAACGGATCACCGATGTAATAAATGGATCTTAATTATAAATTTAATACTAAACAGAAAACAATAAACTTGCGGATAAATTCAAGAATCTATCCCGAATTGAGGTAAATTGTATGGCTTTCAAAATACCGTTTCGATTGCTAACATCACTGAAGAGACATTAATTGTCGAAATCCGGATATAGTGTACAAAAACCTGTGCACCTTTTTTTTTTTGCGATATACCATCTTTTCCGCAAGTTCATTGTTTTCTGTTTAGTATCAAATTCATAAAAAAGATCCATTTATTACATCGGTGATCCGTTTATTTGGCAATCGCCAATGGCAAACAGCAAGGTTTAAGAACATTTGTTGTTCGACCTGTTAGTCAAATGCGTTTTGTTAAAATATACTTTTTCACTTTTTTGGTCTTTTGGAAAATGTTGTTTGTGCTGTATATATATATTTATATATATATTGATATATATTTATGTGCCTACCAAACTTCGGGATCTTCAAATTTGTTATTTCATATCTTAACTTGGTTTTGTTATTTCTAGAATTTAGTGTTTTTGGTTGCTTTTGTTTTACATATATGTATATTAACAACTTTTATGAACTGTGGAACATTTAGATCTTGACAAACGTCAGTAGTTGAAAATTACATAATTCTTTTTTTTTGTCGTTGGGTTACTGTCTTATTAACACATATCAATTATCTCAGTTTCCACGTATTAACGTATTAAACAATGAAAAGGACAAGCAAACCATTTTTCATTTAATTACCAGATCATATATTCCTTTATCAATTATTAATATATAAATAAATACAGTCGCAATGTTCATATACATTCCATCCATTCTTTGCTATGCTTATCACGCTTCGTGTCACAGAACAGTCCGGTATGCGGTTTAAATAGAACAAAAGAATTGGAACTCTTGTGTTTAGAAGGTAGAAAAGTGAAATAAACTTAGTATACGGTTGCAAAGATGTCACAAAAGTTACTTTCCGTCAAAACATTATAAATATTTGCATTCACGTTGATCCATTTTCATATTGTACAACTGTTAACAATGCAACTTGATAACAATCGTTTTTAAAACTACTAGAAGTCCAGCTGTTACGTCAACTGCTACTTATTTTTGCCCGACATAAAAAAAAACTGTGAAAAATTACAAATATTGAGAAATGTATTATCAATCGGTTAAGACCATTCCCAAAGTGGCACACCAACATTTTACATTTGTACGAAATATCAAAGTTGGATGTTATAAGGCGGGGTTTCCTTGTTGATTAACGCATCGAACACACCCCGTCCTAAAAATGTAACATCACATGACTTTTTAGTGATTAAAAGTATTATTTAAAAAAAATATTTGCATGTTTGATATGTGTTTTTACTTAAAAAAGTACAATTACTCTGACAGTCATATTTTCTGTATCATGTAAAAAGTTTTGTTACACATTGAGTTTCACCTTAGTTACGCGGTAACCCGGATTGGTTGACCATTGTCAAGTTGAGTTCTTGGGGTAGCAAAGTCCTATAAATTAATATAAGACATCGAAGGTTCACATCAATTACATTCAACGTTTTTTATTGGAGATTCTTTAATATCAATGTTGAACCTCGAATTCAACATTGATAGTAAGAACAATATCCGATAAAAAACGTTTAATGTAAATGATATGAACCTTCGAATTCTTTGAGGTTCAACATTGATAGTAAAAAAAATCCGATGAAAAACTTTGAATGTATATGAACCTTCGAAGTCTTGTATTATAGGACTAGGGGTAGCATAGATTTATATCGTTGTATTTTTATTGTTTGTGTTAACCAATTGTACTTTCAGAATTTTGTTTGATACATCTAACATTGATCTTGTAATTTCATGTAACTTAGTTTGCGTCCTAATTCTTTGGTGTCATGTTTTGGTTATGTTTGTGTTCGATCAAACAAAATTTTTTTTTTTGTCATATGTTTCGATCGTACAACGTTTTAAAAGTAGACAGTTTCCCGCCGAGATGGTGTGATCTTGTTTTTTCTTGTGATGTGTTTGCGTCTTTTTAATTCGGATTGCAGATGTTTCAGTGATTTCTTTTGGGTTATATTTTCGTTATATTTTTTCTCGATCGTATAGCATCTTACAATTGTCGCCGACATGATGTAATATTTCTTTCTTTGATCGCGAATATTATTCATAAGATTTATTATTCATATCTTTTACTTTTTTTAATAGTTTACCCACAGTCGTGAAGTTGTGAGACATTTAGAGTCGTGCATACGAGATCTTTACTAAGTTATTTCTTCGCATAAGGACTCGCTTGTATTATAGTGCTTTACTTAAATAACTGTCCTAATGTTAGTTGTGTGTTAGTTCTTCACAACTCAGAAACAGGTTCAAGAATATTAAAGTTCTTCACATAATGACTCGCTAATATTAGTTTTTTATCTTATACTGTCACAGTGGCTCACTATAATTTCAGTTTTTCTCATACATGCTCACTTTTACAACTAGTACACGAGTGTCTTCATATTTCACGTACTACACATATTTTGAAGAATGTACAACCTGTTTTATTTAAAATTTATGTTGATGCTGGTTTTAAAAAAGATAGCAGATGAGTTCAGATGATCAAGTCCTTGGAACAAAGAGAGAGGGGAAACCAATGGCACTGCTATATCATCTCAGCAATTAAATCACATTAAAGCTTGTGTTAGAAACTAATAAATATGTGAAGCAGAAGAAAAACAACTGTGCATGCATCTGAAAATACCATCAGTATTACAAATGTATGAAGGAGACTGTTCTGTTATGGATACGTTTGACAAATTCTGCATGAAGAAAAAAAAGACAGTTACTATTGTGGGATAATTTTATTCATAAATATTGTTTCTTCCATAGTTCAAATTGGAATCTCAGATTAGCATGCACCACTTAAAAGCATTTCCCCTCTGTTCCATGCGTTTGATCGGCATATGTACTTGAGAATAATTCCAAGACATCTGACTATCAGATATAGTAGAACTTCCACACAATATTTTAACGTGCTTTCAAAATCGTGATGTTAAGGAATCTGTTCGGAAACCATCTGCATAACGTCATGATAAAATTACTGTCTATCTTCCTTTTCGAGCATTACTGCAAAAAAAATAAATAAAAAATAAACAAGCAATTAAAGAGGGGGTTCCAACCACATGTTCCTCATACCAACGGGTCTGAACACAGCACTTTACTCCGGATCTGCTACTGGATGTATACATCAGATGCATCACGAGATATATACATGTCATGATATTATTAGTTACATAGTGTGCTAGTGACCTAATACGGTATATATGGGGTCAGTAAATTCCATATAGGGTGATAGCGAAGCTCGAATCCCCATATGGAATTTACTGACCCCATATATACCTATTAGGTCACTAGCACACTATGTAACGAATTTATTTTACCGACTATCTTAACGTGTGAAATTTAGACTAGTGACCTATCAAAATGAGCAAGTCTTCAATACCGTTAGCATTAAGAAACTACTTCCTTTGATCCTACAAAAACAGATGCCAACAATAACAACTTGTTAGGTTTAAATGTGTTTTATGAATTTATTTCAATCTTCATCATCAATTTCTTCATCTGTTGAAACCTTCAAGATATTTTCTCAGTACCGTTTTGTTTTTATAAAGGGACGTAACACCACTACTAATCGTGTATGAAATAAGCCCCGCCTCCCTACTAACCTAATATGGAATATACACGGTTTTTAACCAATTATATTCCTAGAAATGCATAGGAGGTAAGATAAATATATGAATTAAAGATATATCGAAAATGTTGAATTATCATTAATATCTATGAAACCACATATCTTACTTAATTGTCCAAGTTTTTCAAATGATATCAAATGTTTTCATTGGTCTTTACTTGTTGGGAAAATGTATTGAATTCATTGTTAGCTACATTATCAATGTTAGGTTATTGCATATTCTTTAGAGCTGTCTTTTTAAATAATGAATTGAAAAAGGGGGATGGATATTCATACTTAACATTTGACTATATTTTCAA